CTGCCAGCCTGAAAGGGGACACACAGTCCTGTGTCAGCAGCTGGGCAGAACCCCAGGCTGCGAGGACACTCAGCCCCAGGGCTTAACTTCACGAGACACACCGCAGCTAATGCGTGGGGCCTTCAGCCTCGTCACTGCAGGCGCAAAGCCCTGCCTTGGAGCTCTCCCAACCTCTGCACCTGCCCCTGTGTGCACTCAGGCCCACTCCCTGCAATCCCGGGAGCAGCGCGCTCCCACCAGGGAACCTCAGCCTGCCTGCCTCTCAAGCACTGGTGACAAGCAGGAAGCCACGACAATTGCCTGCGCTGAGAACAACGGCAAGCCTCCGCCTCAGAAGCTGCAGTGGCACATTTTCCACCAGAAATCAACAGCCCGTGCGCTTTTTGCATCAATTCAGCAAGATCCCAAAGCACCTGGGGCAGTGCCTTTTGAACTCCTCCACCCGGGAGGCCAGGCCTCCATCCTGAACCCTGCCTACGTCTCCTCAGTATGAAACCGCACAGTGCCTTGTAGGCTCTGTGAAGGACGGCTTCAAACCACAAGAAGCAGGCTCATGGCTATCTCCCCACCCAGCAGAATTGGTGTGCAGAAAAGCAGAAGAGTCCCACGCACGGTCTCGGTGGAGAGTCCTTACGCCGAGGATGCCCTTCTAGTCACCCAGGAGGGAGGGGCAGCTGTCAGTCAGTTGGCACCCCGAGGACCACCCAGGTGAGAGGCAGGCACAGCGGACGGGCTGTCAGGCATCTCCCAGCTCATAGTGCAGCAGATGGGCACATCAGTGTGAGGTGCACGAGGCCTTGCGAGCTTTCCGTCCCTCGCACTGCCTGTGCAGATCGCTGCAGGAGGGTTAACGCGCTGCGGTGAACAGCGGCCTCCCAGACCTCTCTAATGCACAGGCCTGCCCCGGCAGCCTGATGCCAGCCGGCCGGCACACAGACTGCCCTCAAGTGCACCCAAGGGCACCTACCCGCATGGTGATCCTCTGGGAGCTGGTGCGGGTAGCAGGGCCTCGATGGCTGGGTTGTGTCTGGAGTACAGCTCGTATCGGTTGATGCCAATGTGGAACTTGAGCCAGTTGGGATAGGAGTCCTGGCTGCCTCCCGGTGGAGAGAGGAATTCTGCACCTTCAGCACCCATCGGCCTGCGAGGCAGCGGGGATGAACATCAGCACGGAAGGAACAGGCCGGTGGGCGCGGTTGAGCGGGGAGGCCACCGGCCCAGTGTTTTTAACTCTGGGTTCAAGTCAGTGCAGATGTTATGGAAGGCGCCTCTGCTTAAAGAGGGTCCTGCAATGTCTGCACTTTCTTCTGCGGCTGCTCTGCTGCCAGCTAACACGGTAGAAAGGCTGTAATTCTTATTCATTCTGGATGCCACAGACTGTACGCCTTCACAGCAAGACTAATCCCAGGACGTCAGCACTGCCCTGCCGTCCCACCCGTCTGCCGGGGTGCGAAATGGCCCCATACCGGTGTGTCAGCTGGGGGGACCAGGGGCTCACTGGCTCTCCCTCAAGTAGAGGGAGAACCTACCATTGCCACCAGGGCTTTCATGAAATCTGAACACGCAGTCTGTCAGGAACCTTCCCGGCTCTGCTTTTGTTTCCAACAAGCAGGGGCAGAATGATGCAAGGGGCTGAAGTTTGATTTTTAGTAAGAGGTAGCTTGGGTGGGGAGAGGAGGAAAGGGCAGCGCCTCTCTCCAGCCCAGGCTCCCAGGGAGGACCCACGCCGCCGCGCAGCCTGTCCTCACATCTCTCTGGGAGTCAAGGGGCAGTTCTGGAGGGAGGACAGACCCTCCGTCTGCCTGCTGGGCTGGAGGAAATGTGGAACCCCTTTGTCCCAGCTCAGAAATTCACCTAAAGCTGAGAGGTTTCTAGTGTTGGAGACCCCACCCAGCAGGTGAGCTGCCCCGAAATGCTGCTGCCACAGAGACCCCACCTAGCAGGTGAGCTGTCAGCCTCTGCTCTCATGTCTTTACTCATATTTGCACATTTAATCCTGAACAACCTCGTGAAGCCGGCACCACAGGTCCGGGCTCTCCTTCAACATCTTTGGGGGCAGCAGTATTTGGGGACTGCAAGTATTTCGATGATGAAAGCACACGTGGTACGTGGCTGCCACGAGTGGTATGCCCACACGGCTCTGGGGCAGAACCCCACAATCAAACACTCCTGTTCCTCAGAGGGACACGTGAATATTCACTGTGAGAGAGAAAAATAAGGATTTTTTAACTAGCCTCGGCGTTCTGCCCCCAAATCCATTCAGCTTGAGTCAGGTTTTGCTAATGAATGGGTTTTGTTTGTCATTCAGATTTGTCAGTCAGAGGTTACGGGGTCCGGATTATAACTGTCTCTATGTTCTCAGTGAGAAGCCCGGTGCTGGAGGGGTTCATCCATTTGCCCAGTTCTGCTCTGGCTAGTGGCCGGCAGAGCCAGGATTCACCCCCAGGTCTCCTGGGCCAGAGCCTGCTGTCCTGCCTGGGTGACGGGGCTGTGTCCGCTCACCTTCCTTGCAGGCCCTGCAGAGTGACTGTCAGCACCAAGCCTGTCCTCGGATGGGCCCCCACCCAAGAAGACAGGATTGGAGCCAATGTGGCCAACGTGGTCTAGGAGGCAGGCGAGCGAGATCAGCTCGGGCAGCCCTTCGGTAGGCACAGGACTTAACCAGGGCACACCCAGGCAGAGGCCACACCAGAACCCTGGGGTAGGGATTCCCTGGCAAAGGTTTTGTCCACACTACCGCAATGTCAGGCAGCCTGGGCACCACTGCCCTGGGGCAACTGGACCAAAGGGGGGTGGCAGTGATCCAGGGCTAGTCTGTCCAGATGGACAAAGGGCTCCTAAGGTGGGCAAAGCTGCCCCAGGCCCCAGGAGGCCCCGCACTCTCCCTGAAGCCGCTCTAGGAGCTCCCGGGCACAGAACTCCCGCACCTCTGCAGTGCTGGTGTTGGAAAGCTGACCGGTCCCACAGAGGGACGCACAGAACTCCCGCACCTCTGCAGTGCTGGTGTTAGGCTGACCGGTCCCTGAGGCGCGGTGAGCTGCAGGAGTGCCTGCCAAGCCTGGTGGCCTTTGGAATCCACCAATGCTCCCCTGCTCAGGCCCTGCCTGTGCACACGAGGGGCTGTGGAAAACCACACACAGTACTAGCTAATATTTTACAAGCTTGCTCACGACCACCATCTCATCCTATCCTTGCGTCGATCCTACATGGGGGAGACCCGCTGGGACGGACGGGGAAAATGAGCTGGAAAGCTCCTGCAGACGGCGGCATAGGAGAGCTCCCGAACGTGGGTGCTGCACGCCTCCCAGCACCGCCCTGGCTGGTGTGCAATGCTCTCATTCCTCTCCTGCCGGATGCCTGGAAAGGTGAGCCGCCCGGCGGACCCCGTGGAAGGTCCTCAGCCCTCCCAGTGGAGCCCCCTCCTCTCACCACGCCCTGCCTGGCATGTGTGGCTCTGGGTACTCATTTCTCCTCAGGACCGGGCACTGCATGTGCGTCTCTTCCCGGGAGCCGTTGGGTCCCACCCAGAGGCAGCGGATCTCCTTGAGGCTGAACTCATCCTCAACTCCCCACCACCCAGACAAGGGGCTGACATGCAGGAGAGATTGCTGGTAAAATCTGCTGAATGAGCCCACACACTGATCAATGCATCGGATATTTCCTTAGCAGCCACGCTCACTTTCGGGAGGCAGAAGGGGCGTTCCGGCTGTGTGTCTGCAGGACTGCCCTCCCAGCACAGCTCGAAGCCCTCAGACCCCTGCAGGGCAGGAGAAAGGGAGAGTTTCCATGGAGGGGGGCCTCGAGGGATGGGGAGGGTTCAGGTTCCTCCCAGACAGTATGGAGGGAAGAGGACCCCCAGCTTGTCCAGCTGATCTCTCTTATGAGGTGAGCTGATCACGGAGTGGGGAGAAAGCTGCAAGTTCTCTCTTCCCATGGCCAGGTGAGTGTCCAGCAAATAACTCGGCACCGGACAGAGACCGCCAGGAACAGCCCTGAAGGGCTCCGGAAAACCCACCTGCCAGCCTGAAAGGGGACACCTGAGTCCTGTGTCAGCAACTGGGCAGAACCCCAGGCTGCAAGGACCCTTTCAGCCCCAGGGCTGCTTCTGAGACACACACCTTGGCTAATGCGTGGGGCCAGCTAACCTCGTCACACAGCGCAAAGCCCTGCCTTCGGCTCTCCCAACCTCTGCCTGCCCCCTGTGTGCACTCCAGGCCTCCTGCAATCCCCGGGGAGCAGCCGGCTCCTGCCAAAGGGCCCTCAGCCTGCCCTCACTGCCTCTCCAAGCACTGGTGACAAAGCGGAGACTTCACAGAGCAATTACACACGCTGAGAACAACGGCACCAAGCCTCCACACTCAGAAGCTGCAGTGGCACATTTTCCTGAAATCAGCAACCCGATGCCCTTTTTTGTCCAATTCAGCAGATCCCAAAGCACCTGGAGACGTTGCCTTTGAACTCCTCCACCGGGAGGCCAGGCCTCCATCTGAACCTGCCTAAGTCTCCTCAGTGTAAAACCGCACAGTGCCTTGCTGAGCTCTGACGGACGGCTTCAAACCACAAGAAGCAGGCTCATGGCTATCTCCCCACCCAGCCAGGGTCGTGTGCAGAAAAGCAGAAGAGTCCCACGCACACGGTCTCGGTGGAGGGGTCACCGCCGCCGAGGATGCCCTTCTGATCCTCTCTACCCCAGGGAGGAGGGGCTATAGTCAGTTGGCACCCCACGAGGACCACCCAGGTGAGAGGCAGAGCACCGGCGGACAGGCTGTCAGGCATCTCCCAGCTCATCGTGCAGCAGATCGAGGGCACATCCAGTGTGAGTGCACGAGGCAGCGAGCTTTCCGTCCCTCCGCCACTGCCTGCCAGATCGCTGCAGGAGGTCTGCTCTTGATAGCAGACTCTGCTTGGCCTCCCAGACCTCTCTAATGCACAGCCTGCCCCGAGCCTGATGCCAGCCCCAGCCGGCACACAGACTGCCCTCAAGTGCATGGGGCACCTACCCACGCTGGTGATCCTCTGGGAGCTGAGGTCGTGCAGCAGGGCCTCGATGGCTGGGTTGTGTCTGGAGTACAGCTCGTATCGGTTGATGCCAATGTGGAACTTGAGCCAGTTGGGATAGGAGTCCACGGCTGCCTCCCCGGTGGAGAGGAATTCTGCACCTTCAGCACCCACATCTCGGCCTGCAGGGAGGCAGCGGGGATGAACATCAGCCACGGAAGGAACAGGCGGTGAGCCGGATGACGGGGGAGAGGCCACAGCGCCAGTGTTTTTAACTCTGGGTTCAAGTCAGTGGAGATGTTATGAAACCTCTGCTTAAGGGGTCCTGCAATGTCTGCACTTTCTTCTCTGTCTCTGCTGCCAGCTATGTACGGTGAAAGGCCTGTAATTCTTATTCATTCTCTGGAGATGCCACAGACTGTATAACTACAGCAAGACTAATCCCAGGACGTCAGCACTGCCCTGCCGTCCCACCCCGCATCTGCCCGGGGTCACCGAAATGGCCCCACCACGATGTCAGCTGAGGGGACCAGGGGCTGCTGGCTCTCCCTCAGAGTAGAGGGGAGAACCTACCATTGCCCGCAGACTGCATGAAAATCACAGACACGCCCAGTCTGTCCAGGAACCTTCCGGCTCTGCTTTGTTCCAGCAACCAGAGCAGAATGATGCAAGAGAGGCTAAATTTGATTTTAATGAGAGCAGCTTGGGTGGGGAGAGAGGAAAGGCAGCCTCTCTCAGCCCAGGCTCCCAGGAGGACCACGCCCACGCAGCCTGTCCTCACATCTCTGGGGTCAGGAGGCCCGGTTCTGGAGGGAGGACAGACCCTCAGTCCACCGCCTGCTGGGCTGGAGGAAATGGAACTTGTCCCAGCTCGAATTCACCTAAAGCTGAGAGGTTTCTGCCCAAGCTCTGTCCTGCCGTGGACGTAGAAGGGCTAGGATCCACTTCCTGGCCACTCACACTGCTCTGGTGGCACGTCTCACTGCCGAAACCTGGCCAGGCCGCTGCTCTTTGGTTCTCAAATTTCCGAGCATTTCTTGAACCTGACCAGCAGGCAAGGCTCAGAGCTTCCAAACAGCCAGTGTGTTCAGACAGAGGCACTGGGCCTGCTCACACTTTCAGGGGAGAAGGGACTTGCAGCGGAGTCTTTGGAGGCCGGTCTAGCCTCTCGCTCACGGTAACCTTCTGCAGGAGGCAGGGAGTTACTTCTCGGCCGCACCGTGGTTAATGTTCCTGCCTCGGGTTGTAGCATCTGCTTGTTTTGATCTGTGTGGCCGAGGAAGGGCTGGGGGTAGAGGAAAGGGCTTAGCCAGGACAGTTTGAGATGTTCCTGCGTGGCTTCACCAGCGCTTTATGGAGCCATCGTCTCTGCAGCCAGCACATCCGCCCCGCCCGTGCTGGGTGGGCCCCTTGTTGCACCTCATGGCTGCCAGCGAATCTCTGATAATTCTGCTTCCAGCCACTGGGATTTTAAAGACTCAGACCTTCTCCAGGTGCCACCCAGAGCACCCTCACCAAGAATGTCTGAAAGCCCAGCGGCAACCTGGCCTTCCGGGAAATCCACTCTCCTTCTCTCACCAACCCATTCATTCACTGCCTGACCCCATTTCCCAAGCTGATGGCCAGGACTCGCTTCTAAAGGCGCAGGTCACAGCCTACTCACCAGCAGCCCACAGGGGCACAGCTCCCAGCCCCCGGCAGCCCCTCCCAAGGAGGAGGTTACTCTGGAGACAAGGTAGGGCCCGAGGCTGGCGGGCGCCTCCTCCCACACCACTCCTGCCAAGCCTCTTCCCTGGGGAGCCTCTGGGAGCCCGAGACCTCTCTCCCACCGTGCCTTGGGCTCACGGCTCCCGCGAGGTAGGCACCTGCCAGCCACTCCTGGTCAGGCACCACCGCTCTGGGGCTGAGCCTGCTGTCATGTTCATTGAACCAGGACGTCGTCCTCCGTGAGCAGCACAGCCACCCGTAAAGCGGGTGCTCGAACAGCCTGGCCAGGAGCGAGGCGTCTCCGCCGGGGCCGGGCGGCGGCTGACGCGGGCCAGGGTCGCCATGGCGGCGGCCGGTGCGCGGGGTCGTGGGGTCTCCGGGCGCCAGGTCCGCCCCGCGAGAATGCGCTCACCGGCTGCGGGCGCGCAGTTTCTCCAGCAGAGTGGAAGGACACGAGAGAGGGTTGGAGGAGGAGGGAGTCGGAGCTGAAGTCCTGCAGGATGCGCAGCGTGTGCTTGTTGGGCCAGCCCGCGTCGGCGGCGGCAGGAGAGGCGGCCGGGGCTCCCGGGCGACCCCGAACCTGGGCCCAGCCGGGCGTGCCCAGCCGTCGGCGGCGGGCTGCGCGCACTGGCGGGCCCCGAGGGCCGCGCGCGCGCAACCGGCTGGGCAGCGGAGTCCAGGGCGTGTGCAGCGCGAGCCGCCGGGAAGACCATGAGGATGTGAGCACGCGGAACCGGCGAACCGGATCATCTTCATGGCCGCGCGGCCGGCCCGGGCCTGGAGCGCGTTCCCCTTGCGCCCCTCTAGCTGCGGCTGGGCGAGCGCAGCGCCGCCTCGCGGGTCAAGGTCCATGGGCGCGGGCAGCTACCAGCTCCCGAGGCTGTCGCCGAAGGCCGGACGTGCAGGGCGCCCGCCGCCAAAGCGCTGCGGGTCCCCGCCATCTGGGGCCAAATCCCCCTCGGCCTCTCCGGGCCAGCGCCCTCAGCCAGGAGCGCAGGGTCTGGTCCGCGGGGCCGGGCGCGCGGGGGCGGCGGGGGCCACAGCAGGAGGCTCGGCGCTCGCAGCGGCCGGCGCGAAATCATCGGGCGCGCGGGTCCATCCCGGCGGGCGCGGCGGGCCAGGCGGTGGCGGCGGCCGCAGGCAGGCCCGATCCTCAGCGCGGTCCGCTCCAGGCGCCGGGCGGGTGGGCGGGGAAGGGCTTTGCTCCTCCGGGCCAGGCTCTGCCCTCACGCCGCGCCGGGAGACCGGGAGCCGGGAGGGCGAAGGGCGGAAGGGTGGGCGCGGAGCAGCCAGCGGGGTCCCAGGCAGGTGCAGCAGCCGCCCCGAGCGCAGCTCCCGCCTGGCCGAGCCTCGGCGCCCGCGCCCCGGGCGGGCAGATATCGAGCGCCGCCGGAGCCGCCCCCACGTCAGCGCCCGCAGATTGGCGGAGCCGCCGCGCCCCGGAGTCACGGCTGGGCCCGGGCCGGCTGCGCTGCGCTCTCCCTCCTCCTCCCCTCTGGCGCGCCCCCTGGCGCCTCTGCAGCTCCGGGCGCGCTGGGGAAGGCGCCTGCGGCCCGCGGTTTGCAGAGGGAAGCGGCGGAGGCCGGGGGGGCGCGCTCGGTTCCGGCCGGGCGAGCAGCTGCGGCCCAGTGGGGGCTCGGCCTGGCCGCTTCCCGGGACCCCCCGCGGGGCCGCCGCCGCCGCCTCGGCTGCAGCCTCGCTCCACTCCCGGGAGGCCAGAACTCAGTCCTCCCCGGAGCCATGAGGCGCGTCTGCGCCTGGATGAGCTCCCCGCCGGGCGGCGCGCTGACCCCGTGCCCCACGCCCGTCTCGGCAGGAGGAGGCGGGGCGGCCCGCAGGAGACCCGGGCAGCGACTGGGCGGACCCAGGGGACGCCAGGGCCTGGAGCTCGGCACCGGCCCAGCCAGGGACGCGCCCGCGCCAGCCTCCAGCGCCACGGCCCGCTGGGGGCGTGGGGGGCGGGGCTGGTGTGTCGAGGCGCTTCCTGCTTGGGGCCCACGGGGTGTGTGAGTGCAGGCGTGTGCGAGTGTGTCTGTGTTATGTGTGTTTGTGTGCGTGCATGTGTGTTTGTGTGTGTGCGTGTGTGTGTTTGTGTGTGTGTTTGTGTGCGTGTGTGTGTGTGTGCATGTGCATGTCATGCTGTGAGTGCATCTCATCTGTCACCCACACCCAGGGCCGCGGTGCTTACTCGCGTGGCTTCTGCAAGTGGCAGCTTCTGGTCCCCCAGCCCCCAGTAGGGAATATGAGTGAATGTGGATGTCAGCTAAGATCTAGTCAGGGTGTGGTAAGTGTGTGGAAGGCCCTGTCCCCAATTAACTCTTCCCAGTGCCCAGATTGCCTGGGCCAGCAAGCCTCTGCAGCAAGCCCAGGCGGTGGAGCTGGGAGCGGGGCCTGGGCCCCCTTCTGCTCTTTCACTGCAAGCTGGCTGTTACCTGGGCCCTCCCTGCCCTCTCTGAGCCTCAGTTTCCTTTATAGCAGATTCAGACATTGAGCTCGTTGTTCCTGAGGACTCCTCATCTCTGAGGCCTGGCCCAATGCCTGGCATTCGGTGGGCACCCACTGATGCCTAAGGGGAGAAGTAGGGCTGGTCAGTGGAATCCGTGTCTCTTGGGCCATCTGAAGTGAGTGAAGGGCTGGGTCGGCCCCCTGGAGCCGGACTGGAGGCTGTGTTGGGGTGGGGCGGGTGTGACCTGGAGGTGGGCCGCCCCAGAGGCCCAACATCCCTGTGAGTGAACTGTCCTTCTTCCACTCACATGGACCTTCCACCTCTGTGTGTAGACAGGGCCACCGAGAGGCCAAGGAGGATGAGGGAAGATCCCAGGTGCAGGGGGTCCGGGCGGACGGCAGGGACAGAGGCCTGCGGCATTAGCCTGTGTTCTCCCAGCCCAGCGAAAGTCTCCCTTGGACTTGGGGTTCTGTGGCTCCTGCCCCCATCTCTCGCGTGGCCTGCAGGACCTCGACACAGAGCTGTGGCTAGTGTCTCGGGGCAGACATGGGGTGGCAGACCCCATGAACCCCATTATCCAGTGTGGGACCTCGTGGAGATTCCCTGGGTGCCCTTCGATGCGTCTCCTGCCCCCACCTCCCCAGAGCAGGTTCTTCGGAGCCCGGCTGTTGTCTGGACCCGTGTGCACCACGGTGCTCCTCCCCACAACGTCTGGTTCATCTCGTCTGTCAAGCCCCCTCAGAACAGTGACCTCGACTTCTTAGATCCTTCCAGCCGCCCCTCCTGCCCCACTGTTTTCCAACAGCACCCGCCGTGGTCTGAGGCACTTTCTTCTGTTCCTGTTTATTGTTTATCTCCTCAAAACATAAGCACTCGGGAAGTCAGACCAGGAACCTGCGTTCAAAGTTCGGCCGGGGCGGGCAAAGCAGGCTCTCAGAGGAGGACCACAAGCCCCTCTGCACGTGAGGACCGGGTGTCACAGGCTGCGGCAGCACGTGACAGGCTCAGAAGACAGGACACGAGGTGAGAGACAGCGGCCAAGCCTCGCCAGGACCCTTCTGCCTAATGCCTTTACTGGGCTGAGGAGAATTTGGTGGTTCAGTCTGCCCGCCTATGTACACCGTGAAAACAGAGAAAACAGACACACACATAGACACACACAGATACACACACAGATACACACACTTAGATACAGAAACACACTGATACACATAGACACACACAAACACACAGATACACATAGATACACCCAGATACCTGGGTATACACATGTAGACACATGATACACACATAGACACAGATATGTGAGCCACACACGATATGTAGATACAGAAACACATGGACACACACATAGACATACACATAGATACAATTCTGTAAACCCAAGACCCCCAATACATAAGACACACATGATACATGCATAGACAGATACATGGACA